CAGTGTAACTTTCAGAGTTGATAGGCCCAAATGCAGTTCACCCCTCCAATTGGGTGGCCTCCTTCTACTGTCATGTAGATGTTGGTACCCAATGAATGAGGTTTTGGAGATTGAGTGAACCAATCACATAAGTACTCACACAGGTTTGGGGTTGTCCATCTTTCCCTCTCGACTTGTCTTCTATGTTATGGGTTCCACAAGGTCTATGTGGCCAGTTTCTGCTTCTGTCCTGGGTTTTCTCTTGTTGGCTGACAAGGTTGTTACCAACCTGGGGTCGTTTGGGCTGGTTTCATGGTTGCAGGGGTTGAGTGCATGTGATGGATACCAGGTGACACATTCCCGGATCCCTGGCATTAGGCTACCTTGTGAGTTCCTGGAGTCAAATGTTAGGTTCACTCTTGACTCTGGGACTTGAGGTAAAGATGGTATGATCCTCATCCTACCATTGCAAGGATGTCAGTACCCAGCGAGTGAAGTCTTGGATGTAGTTGATTTACCGAGTACAATCTGTCATGCCCTAGCCGCTCTATTCCATGGGATGCATCCTCACTCGCCCACTTTCCATTATGGGATTCAATGATTCTGATTTCTGTTTAAGATCACATTGCTAGACTATCCTCTCCCATGCAGATGTGCTCCATTTATGTACTGCCATGTCTTGTTCTCCTGATTATGTCGATGTTCCTAGCAAAGAGATACCTGGCTCAGATGTGTTGCGGTACCCCTCCTCAGATCATCTGTTCTGTTCCTCTCATCTCTTGGGTGTCCTTTGGATGTTTCTGGGGGATACACCTGTGCTTCCCTCACACCAGTCCTTCCTCCATTTCAATGTGGGATTGAAGCTAATCTTGTGAGCGGAGGGAGAGTACTTTATCAGAAGTTATAATTTTCCTAAATGAAAATGTATTTCAGATAGGTACTTCCATCTTCTCACACTTCCCACCCATTCTCCCTACAATCTTCTGGTGTTCACATCTTCTGCCAAATTTTGAAGTGATAATTCAGTAGTGAAGCATAGAGGGAGTCACATGCATCATGTGATAGTAGTGCTCTCCTATTGGTGGATAGGTGACGCATCATGATTTGCATTAGAGATGTGTTGGTACTTCGGATTCCAACAGAGGGAGAATGAAGGCTTGTGGCATGTGTTTCTGAAAAAGTTCGTGTATAGAGGGCAGCGTAAAACAAGAAAAGCTAATCTTGTGAGCGGAGGGAAGTACCAATCAGAAATACATTTTCAATTTGGAAAATTATAACTTCTGTTGTACTAAAGCCATTGTGAAAACTTTGCTCATTTTTTTGGCTAGCATGGGAGAAGAGAAAAGAAAGATGAACACTTTGGCTCTTTAGCTTGTTCCCAGTTATCCACTTTAGCAACACTTTTCAATGATATTTGGAGTCTCACAAGCTGTAAAACACTCAATAATGACAATTAAGTGCTCAAATAAGGTTATAACTCAACTTTAGTAGTTATTTGTAAGCTTCATAGAGTAATAGAATGAATGCAGCAGCCATTTCTTTCTTGGTCCATCCCTACATACTTAGCACTACTGCGCTTAGTGATAAAGCTGAAAGGAGTTAAACTATGTATCACATTACTAATTCTTAAACTTTTATATATATTTTCAGATACTGGCTCATGAACCATTTTTGGTACCCCAGACATACATGTATATGTCACTGTATATAATATATAAAGTGCTCTATAGAACCTGCAATAATTAAGTTGTCTGCTGAATTTTATGTTTTTTTTTTAAATTTATAAATGGTTAACTCATATGAATTTGTAAACTTACCTAAAAGTGCAGTGTACAGTAATTTTAATTTCTCAAATGCTGTTGGTTAACACTGCTACTCAGCAATTAATAGCTACATTTATTCAGTACCAAAATTTATTTGTAAGGTCATCCAGTCTTCAAGAAAACAAGGAAATAAAGATTTGCAGCAATGCTAGAACTTACAATAAATATTTCATTTTCTGGTTTTGGATACACCTGAAAGTTTATAATTTATAAACGAACCAAATCTACAAACTATATGTCCACCTCTCTCCAATTATATAAAGTAGGGCTATGAAACATATACATACAATTTGTGAAGCCTTTAGTATAAATTATATCAAGTTTTACTTACATGTATAAATATTTGCTAAACTTTTTTTTAATTAGAGAAACTAGGTGTTTTATGAGCTTTTAACTTGTGACGCAAGGTGTCTTAATTTTTTCTGGTCTTTTTAAAACAAGTGAAATGAAAATATGTAAATGTAGGCCTGCTAATTATCTGGACAGGAAAGTCATTACTAGTATTCCAACTTGGTTGATTAAATTATACATACTTACTACAATTAATTCATCATTTAAAAGTCAAGACACAGTAAAGGAACAACAGTTACAGTTCATAATTTTTTAGAGATTAAAAGAGTCCCTTCATAAATAACATGAACAAGAAGCAACAAGGTTCTTTTTAATTTAAAAGTTTTCCAATGACAACGAATAAAGACCAGTAATATAAGGGCTTATCCCAATCTCCAATTATAAAATTTAATTTGTTTTCAAGTTTCTAAATAACATATGTCTATTTTTAGTATACTGGTATTAGATTCTCATTAGTTATATAATCTATGCTATGTGCCAGTAACATGGCTTTCTATTCAGAATACCAGTCTCCTTGTGAATGTGAATGAACAGTTGATGTTCAAGATTTTGGTTGGTGATTGAAAATTCGAAACAGGAAATGACATCTTGTTACAGAAAATTAGTTTTTGTTTATGTAAGCATAAATGCGAAAGAATAGATGGATGGCAGTTTTAATTTATTGACATTTAGGGATTAATCATATACTTTAGAAATTTAATGTAATATACAGATAACTCAGCCTACAAAGATGAAATAGAATCAATGTATTCAGAATTGGATTATTTATTTAATATTGTTTTTATCCTTCTAGTTTATAAATGTCTGTGTTACTGATATTACTCTGGTTACTATAAAAATCTGAAACTTAATGACTGAAGTGTATGTTTAATCTAAAAGTTTAATTTGGTGTTTGGCTAAAACAAATTTTGTAATTAAAAAATTATTTGAATGGGAATTCAATAGATTACTTTGTAAAATTATTTATGGACTATTTGTATAGGTTAAGATAAACACTACACTATATTATTGAAGATATATTCATTTTCAAATGAGGAAATAATAAGAAAATGTAAAATAATTTATAAATAATTATTCTTACTAATATGTTTTACAGATTCTTGGTCGAGCATGTTTTACACTTTCTTGTCAACCAACACTCTCTCTAGCAACTGTTGTGAACCACATCCTGGGAGCTGTTACTGCTGGATGTCTGCTATCTATGAATCAAGTTAACTCTCTACCTGAAAGTAAGTTAGATGTATTTCAGAATTATCAACCAACACTCTCTCAAGTAATGTAAAAGTTAACCACTCAAGCTGTGTGTGTGTGTGTGTTATATTTGGATACAGGAAACTCTTCACCAAGAGGTTAAATGCATTTCTCAATTGTCATCTAACACCCTACATAAAGACTTATTATAATCACTTCATGAAAGCTTTTATGGGTGTTTGCTATCTTTGGATTAAATGCATTCTCTCTACTTGAAAGTAAGTTACGTTTTTTAAAACTTAAAAGAAAACATTTATTTTTGATATTTGAACCATTTACAGTCTGTTAATAGTTAATGTAATTTAAGATGTTTGAAATTAAACACTTTATATTTGTTTGTTTAGACTGAGCTGAATATTAACGTAGTCATACCTAGTATAGAGTATTTGATTTTGTTAAAAATTGTTATTAGTTAAGGAGCATATGCAATTTTTTAGTAACTTTTTAGCATAAATTTGATTTCCTGCTTTGTTTAAGTGCATTTGTTTAAAATATACTAACAGTGGTCTTTGGGGGCTCAGCTCCGAGAACTTCTAGACATGTGGAAACCTTTACCATGAATCCATGGGTAATACAGGTCCTTACATCAGGATCAGTCATTCAGTTCACAACTCCACCATCATTTATCCTCCAAACCTGTGGTGTTTCCACCTCCCACAGATCATCAGGAGTCTTTCCAGTTCTTCTTGGGTTTTATTCCCGTCTGTTTGTTAAGTCTAAGAAAATGGGAAATTGGTGGCTGTTCATCAATCTTTATTGCCTAAATCAATTCCTAGATCCTCCAAAGTTTATGGTGAAGTCATTCCTCACTCTGTATTGGCATTTTTCACTAAGACTCTGAATGACTAAGTTCAATGTTGCCGATGTCCAACTGCATATTCCCATAGTGGAGTTGTCCCACCATTGTTTGTGTTTTGTGCACAGGGACCAGATGCTGCAGTTCAGGACTCTACCCATCAGACAAGTGTCAACAACATATGTGTTCTGCTGTATTTTACAAGCTTTTTCTTATCACCTCTATTCCTTGTGCCTGTGCACAAAACCATTACATGGATGAATGGTTACTACTGGCACCATGTCGTCAGATGGCAAAATGTCACACCCAGATTCTGCTTTCCGAAGCAACCAAGGAAGGATTCCTTATCAGAGCCAAAAAATGTATTCTCACTCCAACTCAATATATTGCCCATCTGGCTGCAAAAAGATAGGCTAGAGAGTCTTGTATCATGCAACATTTCTGAATTGTGTGTATTACTGATCAAGCTACTGTAAGTATAGCTGCAGAAGTAATTTTGCATAAAAAAGGTTTAGGGTTGGATTGGACACTGTGACTTGGTGTTTATGTATATATAATAGGTACTATTAAATGCAGTTATCTATAAATGACATGAAATCTTTCAAAATACACAGTCAGACTACTTGAAATTCAGCTAATAGGACACCAGCATTCTGAAATTTAGACATTTCAACTTAGCATTTTAATTGTATATTTATCAGGTATGTTAAGTTTACTTGGAGAACAAATAACGTCATTGAAAAGAAATTTGGACTTACTGGCATTGAAGAAAACAGACAAGTCAATTGTGCTGTATCCAGATGAGGTAAGCCTTGTGGAATTATCAATTAGAAATATTTTACAAAGTTTTTGCATTGTGATATTAGTATACAATTTTAGAAATATTGCAGTGGCAACATATGCTCATAAATATATGAATGTAGTAAATGATGCCAAATTCTAGACATTTTACGTTTTGATGATTATGACATGTGCATACTGTGTTGTTGGAAAATCATTGAAATAACTAAATATTTCATGCTAGTTTTAAATGAAAGTTTCTAAAATATTTTATGATAAAATAAGTGTTTTGAAAATGTATATGTAATTTATTTTAGCTAACCCAATTAACTGGTGAATAATAAACATTTTTATTAACGATTTTTATTCATTTAGAATTTAAACTTATCTCCTGATTCATCTGTTTTTGTGACCAAATGGATCCCATCAATTACTCTTAGTGAACAAAAAGTGAGTGCTTTCAAATATTGGTGTTAAATGTTAATATAAAAAATAGATATTAGAAAGAATAAATGTTGAAGCTTGTTATGCTCTTACTTGTAAAGTAGTTTATAATTGGATGATTTGTTCAATAGAAAGTGTGTGCATTCTCTAGAAAAGTCTTCAAAGTTGAAGATTATAAAGTTTTCAATGTATGGAAATGTAAGATGTTACATTTTTTAGATATAACAAGAGGTTCTCTATTACTGAATCTAAAGTGAAAGTTAACAAATTCTCATGATTTTTTGGAATATATAAATTAGTTTACTAACTTGATTGAAGAGTATGTTCAAAGTAAATAAATAAATTTATTTTAATGGAAATATATTTGTAGTAATTTTTCTTTACTTGTCTGATTTTAATATTTAGTGCAGTAGTAAGTTACCAATATAAATACTGAGGTAAAATATTTTTTATAAAACTAAATTGTTTAATTTTTTTATGCAATTACATATAGGTTTTACTTTAAACTTGTTTTATTTTATAAATGGTATATGTGTTGAACTATTAATACTTCTTTTGTTTTAATGCTAATTTATTTTAGTCCTCAGAAACACAGAAAGTATCCAGTACAATAGATAACACAGTTGAAAAGCTATTGCTCTTTGGACAAAATGTCAGTGTTAGAAGTGGTTTTGGTTTGTTCATGACAGTTACAGAAAAAGCTGATGAACAACTAAAACTGCCAACAAATTTAATGGTAAGTAATTACTCTACAACAAATTTCAGTTAATAATTGAAAATTATAGTATCTTTTTATTATAAATAAAACCATTTTCTTCAATATTCAGTTGCATTTTTGACATGTCTTAGGATGCACAGGTAACCTTTTCTTGTACATTTTTGGTCTTTGGGTTTGGATAAAAGCAGGAAAATTCATTTTTGATTGCTTATTTTACATTATATTATTGTTTTATAGGATACAAAAATTAGTGAGATTTCAAGTTTTTAGTATTATTTCATGTATGTAGTTTATTATCATTGCACCCTTAGTGCAAGAAAAGCTAATGTAAATGTTGATAATTTCTGAACATAAATAACACCATAACTAAAAGTAAATTTCTTAAAATTAAAATACATTAATAAAGAATCAGGACTGGTTACCACACACACACACATATATATATATATATATTTCTATATTAAGGGTAATGAGTAGTCTCTGACATGGGTTTATAAAGCAAATTTCTCTGTATTATTTCGAGCATCTAAATAGGACACAGCATCACTCACAAGTAGGCCCGTGTTCCTATTGGATGCTTTAGGGGAATCCCCGGGCTGAACCAAAACCACAATCAAAACTCTCAAGTAATTGGTTACAGCTCGGTTGTGTTAGCCGGTCACCTATTTACTTGTACTGCTACACCCATGTGCTGTAAGTGATATTGCCTCAAAGTGCTAATATCGCCTGCTAAACCAAACTTTTCTGTAGCTTTCATAGTTCTACAGGGTGGAGGTCAACCTGTCATAAGTTCAAGCACACTCAGCTTGTTTCTAGGCAATGCTTCTTACGTTGCTTAACCTTGTTTTTCTAGTTCATCCACGTGTCTTAGTGGCTTACAAGAAATACAACTATTAATCTAATTTTATTCTTAAACTTTCTAAGTTAATAAAAACTCATAAAACATCGAAGCAATTGTAAATTCCCTCAAAAATAACCCAAATGCTTCATAAGTAGTGTAAATTAGTTATTATAATGTAGCTTGCATGACCTAATAATTTGAGTTTGGAAAATCAATAATGATTATAGTAATACATACAATAAATCAACATACAAAACTAATAGCTCATAATCATTATAGATTATATTTAGTCATCAATTGGCTACTTTCATTATTATTTGTATTTTTGGCTGGAATTCAATAAAACTGATCAAGCTGCACCAACTTAAGATATTTTATATCAGGTTGATCCCATACTAGGCTATTACTGCAAATTACGTCTAATGAAAGCAATTAGGATTTTTTATTAAGTTAAACAGTGATATCAAATATACATAATTATATGTAATATTTTGTCCATTATCATTTAACACATTAACTATGATAAAAAACTGTAAAACATTTCAGTTATGTAGTATTTAAATATATACATAATTTTATTAGAACTGGGTGATTTAATCAATTAATGGATATAAAAATCACCTATAAGCAGCAATAACATTAATTAGTGTCACGTAAACTAACTAAATAATCAAAATTATGATTAAATCAATTGTAACAAATAATCAACTAATCATAATTAGCATTTCTGATTATTTTCATTGTCAACTATTCCAGCAATCAATTAATTGAAGTTCCAGTTATATTGATTGTCAAGAAAATAATCAACTCAAAATTAGGGTTTCTGATTTTCACTATTTTTGATTATCTCAATTATCCAAGTAATTAAAATATTGTTATAATGTTTGTTTGTTAAGCACAAAGCTACATAATGAGGTATCTGTGTTCTGTGCAATTTTAGCTTTATAAGTTTTTTTATTTCAAGTTAAGCTTTTGTGATTTGGGGAGGGGGCTTGTAATTTAAGTGTCTCAGGTTCATTTCCCATTGCCACTGACTCCCAGTGGCTCAGCAGTAACTCTGACACACCACTAAAAACTGAGTTTTAATGCTCATGGTGGACACAGCACAGATAGCTCTTTGTGTAGATTTGTTCTTAACAACAAACAAACCCAATGCCATCAAACTGCTCACCCTGTCTTTGTTAATGTAAATTTACTAAGACTTTCTGTCACTGTGACTAATTTTGAACTGCTGACTAGAAGTTAAGGCAATTGCAGTTAATCAAATGCAGTTGATTAGCAAATACCACTAATTATCCAACTCTATAATTTATACAATAAACAAAACATGTTTATCAGTTATTTTTAATTTTATCCATTTGCTGCAGTGAAAATCATACAAACTAATTGTTAAAACTGTATAAGCTGAATAAGAGTACACTAATGCTGATTATCTGGCTAGGTGTATGAAAAATACTAGCTTGCTACATGTTTTGGAGTTTCTTAGTTTCATATTTCCATGGTGATTACATGTGAAAATATTTGGTATTTTTAAAATAATTGTATATTCAAATTATATAATTATCTGAATACCATTTAAATTAACATAACATAATGTTTAGGGACAACATATGACCTATTGGTCCATCTTGGCTGTCCCATCCTCTAAAATAAACTAAAACTATTATTAAATAAATTTTTTAAAAATCTTAAAGCCAGCCCTTATCATTTATTATACTTATCAAGGTTTCTCTTAAACTCACTTAAATTTACTACCTCCACAACATCTGAAGGCAACCCATTCCAAAGGCCAACCACCCTGTTAGAAAAATAAAACTGCCTTAGCTGAAGCTGACTCCTGCTCTGCCAAAATTTATATATGCATCCCCTAGTCCTACTATTTTCACTGTTAAGTATGAAATAAGATTATGCATCAACACTATCAATTCTCTTTATAATCTTAAACATCTCAATCAGATCCCCTCTAACTCTTATTTTTTCAAGAGAAACAATTTGGGAGATTTCAACCTCTCCTCATATGACAATCCCACCATCTCAGGCATCATTCTAGTAACCCACATTTGAACCTTTTCCAATAGTTCAATGACCTTCCTAAGATAAGGAGCCCAAGACTGAACACAATATCCCAAATGTGGCTTAACCAGTAACTTATACAATAAAATTATAACCTCTCTAGGCTTTTATTTAATATTTCTATAGATAG